CACAAGCGCACGCGCACGCGCACGCGCACGCACGCGCGCACGCACACGCGCACGCGCACGTAGACATAGACGCACGCGCACGCGCACACGCACACGCGCACGCGCACACGCACGCGCACGCGCACACGCACACGCACACGCACACGCACGCGCAAAAGGCAAACGCACGCACACGCACGCGCGCGCGCACGCGCACACGCACACGCGCGCGCACGCTCACACGCGCACGCGCGCACACGCGCACACGCGGACACGCGCACACGCGTGTGCGCACGCGCCCACGCGCCCACGCGCCCACGCGCCCACGCGCCCACGCGCCCACACGCCCACGCGCACACGCGCGCACGCACACGCACACGCACACGCACATGCACACGCACATGCGCACGCACGCGCACACGCACACGCGCACGCGCACGCACGCGCACACGCACACGCGCACGCGCACGCGCACACACGCACGCGCACGCGCACGCGCACGCACACGCACACGCACACGCACACGCACACGCGCGCGCACACGCCCCCGCACACGCACACGCACACGCGCACGCACACGCACACGCGCACGCAAACGCACACGCACACGCACACGCACACGCACACGCACACGCACACGCACACGCACACGCACGCGCACACGCACACGCACGCGCACACGCACACGACCAGGAACACGCACACGCGCACGCGCACGCACACGCACACGCACACGCACACGCACACGCACACGCACACGCACACGCGCACTCACGCACACGCGCACGCACGCGTGCATGCACACACACATGCACGCCGCACACACACACACGCGCACGCACGCACGCACGCACGCACGCACGCACGCGCGCACACACGCACGCACGCACGGACACACAATACACAACACACACACAACACACAACACACACAACACACACAGCACACACAACACACACAACACACAACACACACAACACACACAATTTCACACACACACAATTTCACACACACCACACACACCACACAACAGACCCGCATTTCACCGTCACCTTCGTCGTCCCCCCATTTGTTCCCTGTTAGCCGTTTTTGTCCCGTTCCACTTCTCTCTCCCTCTTTCCCCGATCCCCTTCTCGTGCGCACGGACAAACATTTCCCCGTGCACACGCGCACGCTCCCCCCTCCCCTCCTTCTTCCCCAGCAGAGCCACCCCAGCACCCCCCCCGAGGCTGAAGCTCAGCCTCGAGGCTGCAGCTGAGGCTCCTTCAAGCTCACACGCCGCGGCACCCCCCTTTACCCTCCCCCGCGCCGTCGAAACCCACGCCAGTGGACCCCCCACCCTCTTCCCCAATTCCTCCGTCCACAGGCGGGACGGAGGACCAGACCCCCCCCCTCTCCACGCCACCGGAACCCACGCCACCAGACCCCCCCCCTTCCCCCCCCCCCCCGTCTACCCCCGCAGAGCCACCCCGGCCACCTGACCGCCCCCCTTCTTCCCCCAATTCCCCCTGTCCGCAGGCGGGAAGCCCCACCACGCCACCAGAACCCACGCCACCAGAACCTCCCCCCCCCCCCCTCGCCCTACCCCGGCAGAGCCACCCCGGTCACCCCCTCCCCCTTAAACTCACACGCCGGATCGGCGAATTTATCTTGGGATATTCTCACGAAACGGATCTGTTCCCAACAGCGTCTTTGTCTCGTCTTTGAAGTGTTCGAGGCCGAAGAAGCAAGGGCCCCCAAATGACCCCAGGATGGCTTCAAGATCGGCCTGATGACTCCCGAACATGACGATCTCGCTGGGGTCATCCGTAATCACACGAAAATGCAAATGGATCGCTTCGGACTAACGTCTCGAAAATTGTCTTGCATCGCTTTTGAGGAGCGTCACGGCGATCTAAACTAGCCATCCAACAATGGCGATTTCGCTGAGGACATCCTCAGAAAATTGACGTTGGTAAGATCGCACTGTGTTCATTTTTGAAGGCACCAAGGCGTCCCAACAGAGCCCAAATCAGGCCCCAAGATAACCCCGAGAGCGCCATCAAGGCGAGCGAAAAGTGTGATCTCTCTCGGGACATTATCATTCAACTACGACTGTACTGGCATCGGCGTATACGGGAAAAAGAACAGTTTCGCCCGAGGCCTCCTCAAATGGGAATGCTGGATGATCTGTTCCACCGGACCACAGCAGACCACAACAACACGGCCGACCAGCACGGCAGACCACAGGAGCATGGCAGGCCAGCGCGATGGAGGACGAGGGAGATGAGAAGATGACTTGTCTGTCCTCCTCCTCCTCCTCCTCCTCCTCAACCTCCTCCCCTTCCTCATCGTCCTCGTCGGCCTTCTCCTATCTTCCTCCTCCTCTCCCTTCTCCTCTGGCTTTTTCTCCTCTTTCTACACGTGCGCTGGCACGTGCGGTGACGGGCCGCGTCCGCTGCTGCTAGCGAGGCAACGGTGCCAGCTGACAGTTGCGCTGCCGACGATTTCAAGGTCGGGTGCCCTGGCGCCTCCGTCCGCCTCCTCCTCCTCCGTCCGCCTCCTCCTCCTCCTCCTTCCTCCTCGTTGTCGGAGCGTCCTTTGGGGGGGGGGAAGGGGGATAACTTTCTTCCTTATCTTAGCCACCCTGCTGTTCGTTTCAACGCCCACCCTACCATGCCGGTTTGTGCCCCTTTTTTTAAGCTTTGTCTGGGGATGTTGAGGCGTTTCCGTGATCTCCCTGCTGTAAGAATGGATTCGTTCTGAGTGCAGTTTTCTTATGAGGCGTTCCAAAATGGCCTTGCCTTCGAGTGTGGAAGGAGTTGCCGTCTCTTCCTCGGTGGACGGCGGCGGAAAGGCGGCGGAAGGTCGGCGGAAGCTAAAAGAGGCCGCCTTCGCCGGCGGAAGCCGGCGGAAGGCCTGCGGAAGGCGGCGGAAGCAAACATTGTGCCTTCAAGAGAGGAAAGCATTTTTGGGTTTAGGGTTTCCGGAGTCGGCCCTCTGCGCATGGGCATAGTGTCTCGACGCGGGGCGTTGCTCGCAGGAGGGGGGGTGGGGAGCACGAGGGTTTCGATGCCCCCTTCTGGGGCTTCAGACCTCGCTGAGACCCGCGCGCATCCACAAAAATCGCCAGCCGCGGCACCTCCTCCTCCTCCTCCTCCTCCTCTAACGTTCGGCCGCCGTCTTTGATTTCTCCCACCTTTCTCGTGTACGGCTTTTTCCACGCAGGATAGTCTCCAGGTGGCTTCCGATCTGTATCTCTCCAGCCGGAACGTCATCGGTCTTTCAAGCACATGGCTCCCGCCACAGCGTGGACCACATTTCAGGATCGGTGTTTTGCTCCCGTCGTTCAAAATGGCAGATTTGCGCACTCGCCCGTGCTCAGTCCACATATCTGGTTCCGATTCGTTCCTCTTTGTTGCCGCATCCTCCGTTCTTGTCTTTCCGTCATTCGCTCATCCTCCTGCTCCTCCTATTCTTCTTCCTGCTGCTGCTTCTGACTCCCCTTTTTTTCTGACTTCTTCTTCTCCTTGTCCTTCTTTGTCTTCCGTTTCCCTTTCCTCCTGCTCATCCTCCTGCTGATCCCTCACCTCTTTTTCTTCTTCTTCCTCCTCCTCCTCCTCCTCGAATGTACATGCCCCCCCCGCCCCTGTGATGGCGCGTCACACGATGGGGCCACTTGGGGGTTAAAGGTCCCTTGGGACGCCCCACGAATACAACATGATTCTCAGCAGTGTCAAGGGATGTATCGGAGGGGTCGAACGTCAGATATGGCGCAAGCGCATTCATGCATGTTGCCAGTCTACCGCTACTCGATAAGAGTACGTCTCTCCTGGCTGCCTGGATTGTGTGCGAACGGGGTCTCACCGCCTCGCCTGCGTTTTTTCGCCACATGTGCCTTCAAGTCTTGTGCTTGTTCAATCGAGCTGTCTTGCCATAATCAGGGAATGCTGCACACGTGGTCTGGGTCTCACAATTTGGAATCATGGAAACGACGAATGCTGTCAATGGGGTAGCATCGAAGGTGACCCTGCGTTTGAAAATTTGGAACTGTTGCCGCCAGCGTGCTGTGTGGTGCCGTGCCTTCGTGCTGTAGCGTTCTGTGCCTCGCCTAGTTTGGAGACTGCGAAAAAGTTGTTGTTCCGTTCCCACGTGCCTACCATGACGTGCTTAGTTACAAGAACGCGAACAAGGTGCCGTGCCGTGCCCGCGTGCATTGTCGTGCCGTGCTTGGTTTTCAGCTTGCGCAACAGTTGCCGTGTCGTGCCGTGACGTGCTTGCGTGCCGTGCTGCGCATTGTTTCAAGACGGCGAAGCAGTTGCGGTGCCATGCCCGCGTGCGGTGCCGTGTTTGGTTTTGAGAATGCGAAGCAGTTGCCTTGTCGTGCCGTACCGTGTTCGCGTGCAGTGCCGTGTTTGGTTTGGCCAATGCGAAAAGATGCCGTGCCGTGCCCGCGTGCTGTGCCATGCCATGCCATGCCGTGCCTTGGCATGCCGTGGTGGCCGTGGGAATGCGCAGAAGTGCCGTGACGTGATCTTGCGCGCGTGCCGTGCCGTGTCGTGCCCTGCTTCGTTTCCAGAGTGCGGACAAATTGCCGTGCCGTGCCATGCAGTGCCGTGCCCGCGTGCTTGGCCGTACCTTTGTTGGCCTGAGGAGTGCGAAATTGTTGCCCTAACTTGCCGTGCCGTGTCCACGTGCTGTGTCGTGCCGTGTCGTGCCGTGCTGTGCCGTGCCGTGCAGTGCTCGCGTGCAGTGCCGTGTCTGGTTTTGGGCAGGCGGGGAAGTTGTCCTGCCGTGCTCGCGTGCCGTGCCATGCCGTGATTGATTGTCAGCATGCGAAGACGTGCCGTGCCGTGTCGTTGCCGTGCCATGCAGTGCCGTGCTTCGTCTCGAGGGTTGCGAACGAATTGCCGTACAGTGCAGTGCAGTGCCGTGCCGTGTCCGCGTGCTGGCGTGCTGTGTCGTGCTGTGTCGTGCTCTGCCGTGCCTGATTCTCATACAGCGGAGCAGTTACCGTGCCGTGCCGACCAGATGTCGCAGGATGTCCGGGCCGCTATGCCAGTTTGAGGCTTGGCCTCATTTCAGGATCGGCGCTGTGCTTCTGTCGTTCAGACTGGCGCTCTCGCCCCAGCGTGGGCCCCAGAATGCCAGAGTCAAGCGGCAGCTACTGAATTGAGCCTCAATCGCGGTGCCTTGCACTTGTTGTAGAAATCTGCCCCCCCAGTCTGTAATACCTCATGGAACCGCTGTGTTTGATGGCGTTTTCGAGCACTCGCAACGAACAGGACGTCGTCGGTGCCGCCGACGTGCCCCGACGTGGGCCGCTTGTCGTTCAGGGATCCGAGTCCTTCCTCGTCGTTGTCGCCCCCTCCTTTAGCCTCCTCCGTGTTCCCCTGTCCTGCTCCTCCCGCTCCTCTCACTCCTGCTCCTGCTGCTGCTGTTCCTCCTCCTCCTCCTCGGTCGGTCGGTCGGTCGGCCATAAGGGAATGAGTCTGAATCCCAAACGAAGCTAGAAGAGAGCAGCGATAGCAGAGAGAAAAGTGGCGAGGCAGCGATCGCGGCAGCGGGCAAGCCTCTCGGGTGAAACAACATCCCCCCCCAGTTAAGTCCAAAGCTCGATCCCACCTCCTTATCAAGGCCACTTTAATGCCCTGGTCCTGACGTGGGCGAGAAGAACATCCCAGGCGTACAGCAACTTAGTGAGTAACACCAATGGGGGAGGTCGCCACAAACGTAACGTCTGGGACGGGCTGGCCATTCATCAGGTTACTGACCCCCAGCCTGAGGATCGAAAAAGATGCCTTCACCTGACTACTGCGAGTTACAGTGCCGCGCACACCTCCAGCTTAAACAGACAACCCTGGTCAGCGAGTTAAGGTGCCGCGCACACCCCAGGTGTCAAAAACAGTCAAGCACAAACTTTCCCCGAGGGTACTGCGAGAGTTAACGGTGCCGCGCACACCTTGTACTTGTCAAGAGAGGGATGGTGGTGCCACTTGGGCGAAATCACGACCACGCCTGAAATCAAAGAAAGGGTCCAGGGGCACAAAGAAGGGCACAAACTCCTCCCCGAGGTCCCAAGGCGGCGGTCCAGGATCGGGCCCGAACTGGGCCTGGATAGCAACGAAAATACTCTTGGCCAGTAAACAACACATTTCCGAGGGATAGATTTTGGCCCGCGCAGTATGCCACGCCCCTGAAGCATCTCGGCCCTGAAGGACCTGGGCGTGGGCACGATGTTGGCATCTCCCATGGTGCGGCAACTCGTTAATCAACTGATTTAGCATGGGGATATGAACACCTAGCAAGGACGTTGGTTTCTTCGCACTCTGCCCAAACATACATGACCCCCATCTGGCGGGCCAATTTGGAAAGGATAGGGAGATGCCAACTACTGGGGACATTAGGTCGGTGTTCGGCCGGGGCAGGGTGCTCCATGGTCGCTGGAAGCCCGAGCTTCCAAGCAGAAATCAAAAACTCAATGGTGGTTCTCAACAAGGCATTCCCCACCCCGACCTGCTTTCGTTCCCGAGGTGTGATATACTTCAACCCCCAGAGCTCACTAGTCGCCCTCAGTGGCCGAGGGTGAGGCCCGACAGCATCGGGGGGTACAGGATTATGGCGAGCAGCACTCCAAGTCTCACAGGGGGGCCCTGCTATGACCCCTGCCACCCACCCCTGCTCCATAAGGCGCAACCAATAGGCAACCGTGGAAACATCACTCAAATCTCCGAACTTAGGACTGTTAGTTATGTCAATAGAGAGCACAACAACCGGGGTGGGATACTGAGCGACTAGCCTCTCGATCCACTCCTGCACGTCGTCCGCCCGACGCTGGCCCGAGAAGAGATGGAGAAGAAAGCGGAAAGGGCGAGCAGGGGGCGGAGCCGGAGAAAAAGGAGGAATGACAGGGGGGGCGGGGGAGGGGCCACAGGCTCGGCCACGATGGGCTCCACATCCAAAACTCGAACCCCCCTGACAGGGCCAATCATGCGAACCCTGGGCAGATGGGCGAAATCATCAGTTAACCCCTTGGCCCTGTTGGCCTGCTGCTCACAACGCCGGGTTGCCCGAGCCTCATCAATCTCACACTGAGTGGGACGCACACCACAGGCCACAAGGCCACGAAAACAACTCTTGGACCTCGCTAAGTGTTTATACAACCTCCCGTTGGAACGGTAATCCCACCCACAGATAGAGCAGCAGGTACCAACGGCCATCATGGCTGGGGAGACGGGGATGGGGTGCTGCTTACCCCTGTGAGCGCGCAAGGCGCGCTCAGTCTTGAAGAGCTGGCCGCACTCGTAGCACATGTAGGACGTCCCCTCAACCACTGGGGCCGCGTCCAAGGGCGTGCCAACGAGCGCCTCGCGCACCCTGATGTCCCACTGGTGGAGCAGGTGTCGGTCACTCCACCACTCTCTAGCTCTCAGGATCACGGTTTTAATCGTGGCCCGAAAACGCTGGGGGTCCATCTGAAGTGCGGCCAGCCACTCATCAAGCCCCCCCCGTCCCAGGGACAGAACCGGGTTCCAGGAAAGAAACTAACCAATCGAAACTCGAGGC